GCATTTGATTTTCTGATCCCAGATTCTTGCATATGTACTATCTACCAGTACTGTATGTACGTTGCCACCCTACACCGGGTAGTTTTGGTTACTGGTACATATAAACGGCGTCTGGCCCTTTTCTCGGTGCAATTGATGGCAAAATTTGAATATCAAGATATCGTAGACTCGCACGTTTATATTGGCCAGAAAACAATCGAAATTTTACCATTTTTTACTGCCCGATATTAGAATTAGTTCAAATTCAATCTAGCTCTTTGTACGCTGCGTGTAGCATGAGAAGATTTTTTTTCGTTTTGTCTCCCAATTAAGCTACTTAACACTGATTCACTTGCCTACTTTCGTTTCATATTTTTTTAATAAACTTGTAAAATCTCATTCAGTTGTTTCACTCAGAAATCAAACCCGTAAAAAGAAATATCAGCCATTAGCGGCGAGTCTACACTGCCGTAACTGCTAAGGAGGTATCACATGATTTTTTTGACCACCCATAAACTCTCCCCCCAGTGATCCTAAAAAGATCCCTTTAACCATTCATAGGAGGCACGAATCCACTACAGCCCTTAGGACGCAGGAAGCCGAAGCCGTGGCCTTATTTGGGAGCTGGAGGGTAGCAGATTGGTACATCACCCTCGTGGTAAAGGAATCCCTCTGTATATTTTGTTTGGTGACGGCTTTGTCATTTCGTTTGGTGACGGCGTAGGTATTACACGATTAACAATAAATATTAATTCTATTCGGTCACACGAAATCCGATTATTTTCAGGGAGAAGTGCAACTCTTGATTCATCAGCAAATCAACACTATTAGCGTTCGTGTGAACCCGAATTAACGTGTGTGTGAACGATTTTTTTCTTGTGTTACCTGAAGTTGAGTTCTAAGTTTTGTAGACGTAATAGTCCTATCGTTGAGAGCTTGCCGTACAATGTAACGGTCGATTCTAGGGGTGGTTTTTCTTACAGCACCTTCTCTATGAGTATTTTGGACAGAACCAGGGTTTTGAAATCTGCGCCTTGTCTTTGATAATGCACTTTGCTGAATATGCACTATTTCAGCCACAATTCTTTGTGATATGCCACCTTACAACATACCTACTAAACATGAAACCTTCCAGATACATTTCAATTCTACCTTATTGTGAACCTTCCAGATACATTTCAATTCTACCTTATTGTGAACTGTTTGAAACGTTACTTGAAACGTAATCTAGACGTCCAGGTTTCTCGAATATTATTTAGTTGCAAGAACGATTGAACGATACCAAAATGAAACGATTCAAGAAAAATGCACCCATGTAAGAATATATGTTCTAATGCTACTTCTACTGATCTGTTATGTTTTTTGTTGTATTGCATACACCTATTCTACATCATGAAAAATACATATCACTATAGAAGATCACAAATCAAAAAATAGCTGCTGCTACCATACCCATATACGTATTAATAAACAATACGGATCATAACGGGTGCCAGGATGAAGCCAAAAATATGAAACAAATGAATATCCATAAGGATTTGGTGGCATGATACGTAGTCATCAAAGACATGCGTTTCGGTGGACAATGACGTTTACTAGCCTTTCAATCAAAGCAGTATGTGTCTGATCGTATCTCACTTTTCCTCACAGATAGAGATTATCCGTATTGATTATTAATACGTATATGACTATACCACGCCATCAATGTTGAACTGTACTAATAAATATATTCTACTTCAACGCTTACTCAATGTTCAATATTGTTTATGCCTTTAGTTTGGTATCCCGCCTTGAAATGTAGATGAGAACGAGTATTATTTGTTTCGTATGTCGAATTTCTTATTGCTAAGTTGTGATGGATGGGCGAGACGTGGGTGTGGATACGGAAAGAGGAAGGATCTGTATCGGAACAAGACAGTACAAGGTCAGAGGGAGACGACTGACTGAAACGAGTCAGCATCATCAAATATACTGGGTGACCAGATTACAAATTATTCGATGGAGCGGTTGATTTTTTACGGGGGGGGGGGGGGACATGTGGTTAGCAAATGAATCCATGACATCATAGTGATGTCTGCGAGGTTATCCAGGTCGATTATTATCAAATAACTTCATAAGATGGAATGGACCCATCTCTAATGCAATGAAGTAATAATCAATGTATAACTGTTCACTTTCAAAAGTGTCAACGTCAACTGAAATTCGACAATCACGAAGCCCAGAAATTTCGTTCGTTCCACTTGATTTCAAATATGCGGTGGTTTCTTGGGCGTTGAGGTTTCAAATACGCTGACCCTGAGACACCTCATAAACGCCTAGACAATCAAGTATGGACATACCTGCACGCACATGCATAAAATACGTTAATCTTGTATAATTTGGCCAATCAATTTTATTACCATGAGCAGATAAAGTTGAAATAAAGATATATATTTCGTTTCATCAACGATTTAATGCCTACTCCTCCATCCGAAAACAGCTGCATTTCAAATATTGAATCTTTTTTTTTAGCTTTCGAAACGCACGAGATATTCCCTATTATATTCAAGGAACATCGTGCGCACCTAGGGAGGATGAAGAAAGAATGTAGGATTGTATTTTTTTCAACTTCTGGAGCATATAAGTTCTTAGGAATACTTTCTTTGGCACAGAATTCCAATGTTTTGACGTTCTATTGATAGAACGAGTTTTGAAAAAGAGTTATTGGTTGGTCGTGTTGATAGAACAAAAACGAAATTCAGTTCAATGACAGGTAATCTGGAAAACTCGAGATCGGTTGAAGATCATGACAGCTGTCATTCTTTTTTTACATTTACAAATGTTTATTATGTGTAAGTAATTCTGGTGACAATGCAACATGGAATTTCTGTTAGAGAAAAATAAAACAAAATGGCGGAGGACTTTTGTAATCATGATCAAATTCCATTCAAAACTGGTATCTGGGGATTTTTGGGGTCGGCAATTATGATTTTTCTGTCAAAATTTTCAAAATTTGTATCTGGGGGGTTTTGCGGTCGGAGATTATAATTCTTTCGTCAAAATTGGGAAATTCGAAATGACGGATCCAAGATGGTGAACGAGTTTTGTAATCATGATCCGATTCTATTCAAATTGGTCTCTGGGGGTTTTCTGGGTCGGAAATTATGATTCTTTCATCAAAATTCTGGAATTCAAGATAGCGGCTTCAAAATGGCGGATGAGTTTTGTGATTATGGTCCGATTATATTCAAAATTGGTATGTGGGGGCTTTTTTGTCGGATATTTTTACAATTTTTCTTTTTTAGTGCATTTTTATAAAAGCTTGTCTTTCAAAATGTATTATATAAACGCTTTTTATTTACTTATTGAAATAAGCAGATAATATTTGGTATATTGTAAGCTCACTTCTTATGTATACAGTGTGTCCCACTTACCATGCTCACCATGGGTATCTTTTTAACGGTGAGAGATACGAGGTCGGTTAAATGACACCAAATGTGGAGTTTGTCAAGGCCAACTATAATGTAAAAAAATATTTTGATAAAATCTATTCGTTTTTGTTTTATACGCAAAAAACAGGTTTTGATCATTTTCATGTCTCCTCCGTAACTTCTTTATTTATGAAAATATTCAAATACTAATTTCACATCCTCATGGCAGTTTTTTGAAGCGATTTCGAAAAAAATATGAAATTTATACCAACTCTTCTAGAATTTGAGATATCAGCACCAACTTTAGTTTTTCAAATGCAGGTCATGGCTCACTATGACTCAGTTACAAATAACTTTTTTTTCTCTTACAGATGATATATCGCAGCAATAGTTTTGTGTTGATAACAACGGAGTTATCGTCATTTATACAAAAACAAAAAATTATTTGGAAGCCGCCATCTTGAATTTATAAATTTCAACAAAAACATCATGATCTCCGACCTCAAAAACTCCCACTCACCAATTTTGAATGGAATCGGACCAAATTTTGTCCGCCATCTTGGAGCAGCCATTTTTTTAAATTTCAACAAAAATTCCATTACTCCGATTAACTTGAAATTTGGCAGGTGTTCATAATTTCGGTGACAGTACATTATGGAATTTTTGTTAAAATTAAAAAAAATGGCTGCTCCAAGATGGCGGACAAGATTTGGTCTGATTCCATTCAAAATTGGTGAGTGGGGGTTTTTGAGGTCGGAGATTATGATTTTCTTGTTAAAATTTATTAATTCAAGATGGCGACTTCCAAATAATTTTTTGTTTTTGTATAAATGACGATAACTCCGTTGTTATCAACACAAAACTATTGCTGCGATATATCATCTGTAAAAGAAAAAAAAGTTATTTGTAACTAAGTCATAGTGAGCCATGACCTGCATTTGAAAAACTAAAGTTGGTGCTGATATCTCAAATTCTAGAAGAGTTGGTATAAATTTCATATTTTTTTCGAAATCGCTTCAAAAAACTGCCATGAGAATGTGAAATTAGTATTTGAATATTTTTATAAATAAAGAAGTTACGGAGGAGACATGAAAATGATCAAAACCTGTTTTTTGCATATAAAACAAAAACGAATAGATTTTATCAAAATATTTTTTCACATTATAGTTGGCCTTGACAAACTCCACATTTGGTGTCATTTAACCGACCTCGTATCTCTCACCGTTGAAAAGATACCCATAGTGAGCATGGTAAGTGGGACATACTGTATAACTTTCATGCATTTCATGTCATGTAGATGACCACACTGGTGCTGCCACGCGAGATCAAAATCGAACATTCCCGTCCTCCAGTGGCCCAACCGATTTCTAGTGGCATTTGAATGTGCCTAGTGGAGTATTTTATTTTAGAGACCCATCAAGAATATTGAAATTATGATATCAAAATTGAATCTGTATGTGATAAGGACAACTAGACCTATGAAAACATTAGCAAGAATTTTGACAGGGATATACAAATATGCTATCAAAAAATTTAAACAATTCCCTTTATATTTGAAATACTACCTGAATATATCTTTCAATATAGACTAAAAATAATATTTTCATTTACCTACGACTGCCGAGGAATAACATTCATATCCTTTATATTTCATGGAAGACTTTTCTTTCCACTTGACGTTGTGCAGTATTCTTTTTGAAAACTGTTTGTGTTTCTCTTTCTTTGGTTCTTCTTTTGTATTATCAGTCTCCTCTTCATTGTCAGATAATTCAGCATCCAAAATTGCCATATTGGGACACCTAGTTTCAACATAATAATAATGATTATCAAATAAAATAATTCTGTTCTTATTATTTGCCCAAGTCTATTTGTTTCAGTACCTTCTATGTTTGCATGCTTGTTTTGATTTTCCAGTTCCGCCAAATTTCAACATATCTTTACAATGATTGCATTCTCCACAATCTGGTGATTGACACGCCTCACAAACTCCACATCGTTTTTTCTTGGGACCTTTAGTTTCTTCTCTTTTATCGAGTTGATCTGGAAAAAAATTTTTGAAAACATCCGCCACCAGTTTTGTTGTTACAGCTTTGCTCCAACTAGGCCCTTTCTTAATCTCAATGCCCTGGAAAAAAACCAAGATACTATTGGAATAGCTTAGGATGTGATAATACATACTTTGCGTTCTGTTTTTCTCACTTTCTTACGTTTCTGGAATGTTACTCCAGCTATTTTCACCAAGGACCTCATACAGGATAGAGAAATAAAAGGCTTTTCATCTTCAGGAGATGCCTGATCATAATTCAGTACCTAGAATAGATCATCTGTTATAGTTTCATTTTTATTCACTTTTTATTATATTCACATCTGATATCAAAAGGTGTTGTCACCTTCCCGAGCACATGGTACTGTATGCTTACGATACCAATATCTTGATGTCCTGTGAGGATACTGAACAACTAGTTACAAATAGTAACGCAGCTTCTGAAGAATTCGATAAGTATTGTTCTCAAAATGGACTTCAACTTAATCTTACAAAAACATTTTTCACCAGATTATGACATGTACTTAAGGGCGCCGTACATTATGCTATTTCTAGGCAAGTTTGAGGCAATGCAATTTTCTCGCAATTTTCTCATTTTATGGCAAGTCGCCGTACATTGAGATATTTCTGTCATATTTTCTCGTTCATATTCACTATTTTCAGGTTTTTTGAGCCTTCAATGTACTTTTTGAGGTTATTTGGTGTTTCAGGCCACGTTATGGAGAAAATTTGTATTTTATCAAGATGGTACGATGAATATTACTAAAAATTTTACTAAACTTGCCTTGAAATTGCAGGAAAAATAGGACTGGTTCTATTACGAAACTTTCATGAAACTTGCCGTGGGATATCATAGACGCATGCGCATTGTTCGATTCAAAATTACATTGCATCGAACTTGCTGGTGAATAGCATAATGTACGGAGCCTTTACATATTCAAGGCCATGATACTAAAACCAAGTGGTTTTAGTATCATGTTCAAGGCAAATCAATTCAAACCACAGACACTATAAAGTTTTTGGGTATCACAGTTGATCCAAAATTGACTTGGGAGCCACATATAAGCAGAGTTTGTTCTAAACTAAGTACATGCTGCTATATAATCAGAAATTCAAGAGAAACAGTATCCTTTGACGTACTGTAATATATTGTATATTGGCCTGGTACAATCAATTTTACAATATGGACTGATATTTTGGAGATCATCAGCACACTTTGAAAACGCTTTCATCGCTCAGAAAAAAATCATAAGAACCATGTTCAATGTTCATCCATCGACTGCCTGTAATGATCTCTTCACTAGAGCACAAATAATGACTTTACCTAGCCTATTTATCTATTGCTTGGTTATCTACATTCGACCTAATGAACATAAGTTTATAAACACTTGCATAATACAAGATCAAAATGTGATATTCATCAAACTTACTCACGTCTACAAATATGTCAAAATTCACCTAATTGCATAGGAATTGAAATGTTTAATAAGTTTCAACTCATATACAAAAATTATGAAAGCTGTAACATATCATTTGAGACTAAACTTTCTATGTATTTGAAAATGCATTCTATTCCATAGAGCATTTTCTCCAATTTTGAAATAATTTTACTTATTTTTTAATTTGGTTGTGAATATATTTATAATGATTACTTTGAAATGATTTTTACTAATATTTTAATCTGTTTGTAAATGTATTCATATTGATTATTTGATATCATTATGTTTGATTCTACAACTACTATCTACTTGTATCTTGACTAGGCTGATAAGTGTTATGCATTTTACTTATGTACAACCTTTTATGCTGCAATAAATCATATCATATAATAATAAATTTATTCAGTACATGTTAAGGTCATATTCCTCTTGTCAAAATGAGGAATAACGTTTTCTTCATCTCTTGGAGCGCACTTAATGGAATCCTTATAATGTTCGAGGAACATCGTGCGTACCTAGGGTAGATAGAGAATGGAGGTAGATGTTGGATTTTTTTTCAATTTTTGGAGTTTATAAGCTCTTGGGAATACTTTCTTCATCAAAAAATTCCAAAGCTTTGCCGTTCTATACAAATGAGCGTTGGAAAAAAGTTGTTCACATATTTCGAGGTTGACAACAGAAGGATGTGCCGACTGGATCTTTCCAGCAAAAAGGCCAAATTTTTGAAACCCTGTATTTAATCACCCATAGTACACACAAGATTCTATAGCTGGTAGGAATATGTTTCAGTCTCATATTTGTACAATGTGTAGGTACCTCAATTAGCTCTACCTCTTCAACTGATACTGAATTGTTTAATTTCAAAAATTGTGTGTAGGTCTTTGATTTTATTTATACGTCAAATACGTGAAATGTACAATAATAGTTACTGTCCATGAAGGAAATTCACTTTTGAGTCATAACCTACTGATAAGTCTACAGTTTGTAAACAACTGATAGTTGTTTGGCCCTCAATCATATTTTCGTTGTAAAATATTAACTCTCTTTGAAAAAAACTGTTATTCTAATAGTTGAGGATCCATCAATGAAGTTATGAATGTTAAGTATTTATGCGTCGCAAACAGCCACTGTCACATTGAAACAGTTTGACAGATTTTTTTGAAGCAGTATGGAATTCGCGACTTTGTACGTTTCATATTGGAAATACAAACAATTAAATCCAACTGAATAGTTTTGAAAAGATTACTATATTTATTTATTACCTGATCACAAATGAATTGTGCATTCTGCAAAAGAATATCTTCAACATCTCTATACTGTCCAGAACTCTGTACTTGCTGCACCAAATCCTCATAATTAGGGTTTTCCCAAGCTTTATCAAGAAGGAACTCAATAACGATCTTGGACAATTGTATTTTTTCCTTGAGCTTATTGAATATGGGTTGATACTCTGCTGACGGGTCCATGAGATAATAGTTGGCATATTCTGTTGTGAAACCAATACAGAGCTTTTCTCCACCATCGTAACCAGCTGTCCACCATTCATTGATAGGTCCCAGATCATATCCTGGGACGCCATCGTCAGGAATGGGATTTTCTTCGTATACGGGTTTTATGTATCCAGAGGAGTATAGTCTGATATTTTTCTCGATAAGTCCGGAATCCAAAGCACAAAGGTGTCCTTTTTCATCATAAACGCTAAAGTATGTGATCTGAAATAACAAGAAAATCATTAGATGATTCGAATCGATTGGTAGTTCCCGTAGGAAAAACTTAATAAATATTGGACATTTGTCTTGTAGCAAGAGATCAAGTCCCTTCAATGAGGGCGAACATTATTGTCCACCAAAACGTGCCACTGAAACTTGAGGTCAGGGTTGGTAGAGCTGATATAGTTATTAATGTACCAAGTTCGTTATACAGGGTGTCCCTCCAGGAACTGCATCGATCAATATATAGAAAACCATGGATGGGCCGAATTTGAAAATTTGGGAGTTCACTATTGCTGATAGGTACTATCCGGCTTAATTATTTTGACGATTGTGGCACTTCAGGTTGTACCGGAAGTGGACCCCAACTTCGTTATTTTAAATGGGACACCCTGTATATTATCAAGGTTTCAGATTTTACGCATGATTCTGAACATGTTTCATGTATAATATCCTATACCCAAGAATGACCGTTTTCGAAACATTTCAAATTTCAAGTTGAAAATTGCGTTTGTAGACCGAAAATATTTTTTTCTACAAACGCTAAACAATGTAGCCTTTGACGCTTTCAAATTCCAGCACAAAGTTGACGTTTTCCCAGAAATGTCATTCTTTGACAGCATTTGCGCTCTTGAGCGGAAATATTGAAAAAACGCTCGCACATCTCTGTAACCTATACCCTTTTATCTATTCTTGTAAACCCCCAATTCTTTCATGATGGAAAATAGTGACAGTGAATCATCAAGCAGAAAGCGCAAGAGTTTGAATCTCTTACTGGAGAAATCAAGGAAGAAATATGAATTACAATATGATACATTCATAAATTGGTGCCACTCCGAGATGGCGAATATGTATTCAGAAAACGTTTTACTGGCTTATTTTGGTAAAAAATCAAAGACTTTGAAGTCATCAACTCATTGGTCTATAAATTCGATGGTACGTATACATGCTTGAATGTTAAAAATAATATCGGAATCAATAAGTATCTGAAACTTATCGCATTTCTCAAGAAACAATCTATTGGATAAAAAGCGAGAAAAATCCAAAACATTCACCGCTGAAGATATATACCATAAAATTTCTACAAGAAGCTCCAGATGAAGCATATCTGTTGAAAACGATGAATTATACTTTATATTTGAACTCTTTGTTGTCATCAGAAAGACAGTGTATCTTTATTTTATTGCATCAATGAGTATTGTTCAATTTGATTGCAAAGTTTATCGTACTATGGCCAGAGGTCTGAAGCTCAGGTTGCCACGCTGGTGGTCCAGTTTCAATTCTCGGTAGGCCCGACATTTTTATTCTGGCTTGTCAGTTATTTCAATTTTTCTTTTTTTGTTTCCTTTGGACATATGGGATAATATGGATGAGAATTTTTTAAAATATTTCAATCGCTTTTCGGGGCAGTCATTTCCAAAAGCTGCGTTAGTAGAAAAAATCTCGTGTGTATTTCGAGCACAAAGTGTTATTGCCGCTCTCCAAAGATTACAGCGCTCCGCTCCGCATCGCGCGGTAACTTTCTTTGTCGAGCGGCAATCTATCACTTTGCGCTCTAAATACACAAATAGCTATTTTTCATTTCTGGAGATGATCATTAATTTCCGATTGTGTATCGTTTTATTCGTAGGAGAGGACCCAGTTCAGTAGAATTTCGATATTAATTCGATTACAGTTATACAGGGGGCTCACCAGAAAATGATATAGATCCGGTTGAAAAAATTATATTAAATCAATTTTTTCAAATGGAAACTCCCCAATTTTATTTTCTCATCCGATTCGGAATCTAAAATGAAGCTAACTTTGAATGAGGTTATCTATGCCTACACTCAACAGTGTTCGAAATATTGGCAAATTAACATGTCTCAGTTCCAGAAAATCTCGTATTCTTGAGTTTACTCATTTCTTAGTTGGCCATGGCGCCTGTAGTTGCGTTGGAAACAATCAACTGTCTCGTTTGAATTATTCGAATGAAGATTACTTACATCTATTTATTATTTATGGCGAATGTAATAGGGTTATCTCAAGAACATGTGATATTTTCCGCATAAGCAGAAGCCCTCACAAAATACTGGTAAACGAATTTTAGCAAATTTCAAAAACTTTCGATCCGTCAAAGCAAGGGTGCAGAGAAACAAGCCAATTGTTGATGATGAAGATATTGAAATTGCCATTCTGGGATATTTTGCTGCATATCCAACAATATCTTTGAGACAAGTTGCAAGAGAATCAGGATTGTCAAAAAACTCAGTACATAGAATACTGCGCAAACTTAAACTTCACCCATATAAGTTCTCCATAGTTCAGCACCTGAAAGAAACAGATTTTTTCTCCGATTGGCAGCAAATATTAATTTTGCTGACACATATCAATCAGCAAAGTATTACTTTTCCTGCCTAGGCTGATTGATATGAATCAGCAAAATTAATAATCCATAAATCGTTTATAATTTCCTTCATATTTCATTCGAGACTTCTCCGGCAACAAATTCAACTCTATATTTTATGCCACCTCCCTCATTTCTGGAGGTGTAAGTACTTCCAGGTCGCTATCACTTTCCATTATATAATAATTTAAATATACCAATATTTTTTCGCACAACTGTCAGAAATTTCATGAATTGTCAAACTATAATTATTATGAACATTTCCATAGCAACCAACCATTCCAACAACTGCGATTTCTATCAAATTTTATTTTAATTGAACACTACAGGAAAAATAAAGAGATATATATCATTATTAACAATCGGAGAAAAAATTATATGTTCAACTCGGCAGCAAAGTAGATTGACTGCCTTAGCTGGATTCCTAGCCTCGCTCCGCTCGGCTATGAATTCAGCCTCGGCAGTCAATCTACTACTTTGCTGCCTAGTTAAACAAATAACTATTCCACGAAGAGTGAGAATTTGTGAATTCGTTTTAAATAATAAATAGATTTGAGTAATATTCATTCGAATAATTCAAACGAGCCAGCATGATTGATTACAATGACATTTCCGTGACAGTTGATTGTTTCTAACGCCACTGCGGGCGCCATGGCCAACTAAGAATAAGTAAACTCAAGAATACGAAATTTTCTGGAACTGAGACATGTTAGTTTGCCAATATTTCGAAAACTGTTGAGTGTAGGCATAGATAACCTCATTCAGAGTTAGCTTCAGTTTCGATGCCGAATCGAATGAGAGTATAAAATTGGGGGGTTTCCATTTGCAAAAATTGACTTACAATAACTTTTTCAACCGGATCTATATCATTTTCTGGTGAACGCCCTGTATAACTATAATTGTATTGATATCGAAATTCTACTGAACTGGGTCCTCTCCTACGAATGAGTCGATACACATTCGAAAATGAATGATTATGTCCAGAAATGAAAACAAATATTTTTCGGTCTGCAAACGCAATTTTCAACTTATAATATTGAAATATTTCGAAAACACTTAGACATGGGTATAGGACATTGAATCGAAAACCTTGATAATATACAAGGTGTCCCATTTAAAATAACGAAGTTGGGGTCCACTTCCGGTACAACCGGAGGTGCCACAATCGTCAAAATATTTTAATTGGAGAGCACTTAACAACAATAGTGAATTCCCAAACTTTCAAATTCGGCCCACCTATGGTTTTCGATATATTGATCGATGCAGTTACCGGAGGGACACCCTGTATAGATCCTAACGCCCAGAGGGTAACATTCAACCGAGAGCCTTTGCCCGAGGAATGAATGCTGCCACCACATCGAGCGATCTCCTTGAAATAAAACTCGATAAAAGATGGCATGGCTGAGGTGGTGAGCCGTATGATGGTAGTCTGTGGAGCAGTCCTTGGTGCCAAACACGGTCGAATGCCTTCGATATATTTAGCGATACAGCTAGAGATTCCCCATGTTTTTCTAATGAAGTTTGCCATATATTTCAATCAGATCCACAAAACAGAGAGCTTGTACAGGATCCCATAATCCATTGATGTATCATACAGTTTTTAAAAGTAGAACTTAGTACATGACAAGAAATAGATAAGCACATAAAAAAATTTAAAACTTCTAACAACTCATGAGTATCAGAAGTGATCAAGGGTAATATTTGGAAAAATGATGCAAATTGAGAAACGAATTAAAAAAAAACTCACTTGTTGTTCATTTTATGAACATTATGTGGAAATGACTTTAAATTTTTTCGTATTTATTTAACATTTCATTCCACTTCGAGTAGTTGAGGAATATATCACATCTAGAATAGGTATGCCTGGAGCCCAAAAGGAATTTTCATTGAGAGAATTGCTGCTGATGAAGGATTTGGCTAGCAGAGAACCTGAAATCCAGGAACTTTTTTTCCAAAGTATTAATTTGATTCCATAATTGTTGGGCAAATACTTCGCAATAAAAGTAAAACACAACTGAAGCAGGTCGGACATCCTCCATTTTCCATTAGTATCAGAACTGAAGATGATCGGCAAATAACAGGCCATAGAAAATGAATTAGCAGAAGAAATCACTTTCAATTTTGAAAATGATGAGTACTATTATTATTTCATTTATTATTTTAGAATTAGAATACAGTACCTTAAAGGACCTGATAAATGTCTAGTTGATAATGAAAAAAAGTGCATGTTTGAAAAAATTACTACAGAGGATGTGCAAGCCACAAAAAGCTCAAAGTCAATTCCACACAAAGTTCATAAAATAAACAACAATGGTTGATTTCGGAAGAAAAACAACTACTTTCCTAGCTAATGCCACGCAGAACATTGAATTATATCCTCCCGTAATCTATGCATCGACTCGAAATCTATGAATCGACTCGTATAAACGAATACTGATACAAGTGATTCTTTTCTGAATGCCTATTGATTCAGATTTAGCCACGCCACGCTAGACACCTACAGACCAGTTTCGAGCCCTTTGACTCTCATCAGTGCAAAGCAGTCTCCAGCTGGCAGTCCTAAGACCGCCGACTAAGCGTAGCCTAGCCAAACAAAAATCAAGTCGGCATTATATTC